AAACAAAAGCCAAAACCCTCAGCAGTAAAAACTGCAGCATTCACAGGCTACCAAGGTTCCAGTTTCAAGGGAGTAATTTGTGGGGAAACAATAAAATAGTCCTAAGAATCAGACAGTTTTGACTGCATAGAAAACAAACCATCCTGAAAAGTGTTAGCTGAACACTTTGTGGTTGAGTAGAAGGGACAGATGCAGGCTCAATACTTAGTTTAGTTAAAACTCAGTTTATCTTACTTTTTCATTGGCTCTTATACCCTGCAGACAGTCACAGCTGCCTGAGATACTTAAAATCTATCATGGGGAGGTAAGTCTGTGTAGTCAGAACAGCACTGTCAATCTAAAAATCTTTTAGAGTATCTAATATTTCAAATTACACAAAGATAGTAGAACAAGTATACTAAGACTTTCTCTTGCTCTCCTACTTCATCTCCACAGGTATGATACAAGTTCAAGGTGTTGGTGCGTTACACATGGAGGATTGGATGCTTTGCATCTTTCCCTTGGGTGACTCAGAACTGAATGTCTGTGTTTCCTGCAATCAGCTTCATCTTGCTGAACAGCTAGAAAACTTCACAAAATCAGACATGTCCAATTCATTGTTTCCCCAGCTTGCCATTACTCTGAAAGCAGAGGCACAGCTTACACATTCACTTGCCAAACAGTGGACGGTAACTTCACTGGAGAAAGGAAACAGGGTACCTCAGTCACTCACTCATCCCGCTCGCCATTTCCCACAATGCTGAATAATGAGATTGTGGAAAATTATTTTTAAAATTTAGCTTCCTCGGTTTGCTTCTCTTCAGAATTAGAGTGGAGATTCCAACTACCATTAGAAAATTGTCCATCCTGAGCACAGCTACCTGTTACGGTGGCTGCTCTCTTGGGTATGCAAACACGGTGCCGCAAGATCTCTGCTTACCATTGCAAGCAGTCAGAAGGACAAGCACCAGTGTCAGCGTAGTCAGTCCCAAGGGGTTTCCGACAGGGTTAACAACTGACCATAGAAGATTTTGATCCTAGGTTAGCTTTGAAACCATGCATTTAGTGTTCCTTTTGGTTAAAGGAAAAAATAAAAGAAGCGTAGTTAGCTCTAACCCTAACTTGGTCACTCTAGAGAGACCAAACAGCAGCACTAAGACCTATTTTTGAATTGGTCCCATGCAGATGAAAAACTTCCTGCAACACAATTTGAACATTCAGACCTAAGATTCAGCAGAATGAGTAGCTCTATTCAGCTGTTTACGTGTGAAAATCAGAGCAGAGTTAGCATTTGGTTAATTTTACTATGGGCAGCTGCCACTGTGGACACCAGTCACAGTTACTAAGCAGCAGTTTGTCCATCGTGGTCAGTTTATTTTTTAAATTCCAAGGCACCAACCCTCTACAGCACTTCTTATTTAAATCTGCCAGTCAGTACCTCACCTAAAGTGCAAACACAGAGGTGAAACTACCTTCTACGTGCTTGCACAGTAAGTTTCTGCCTCATCTTCACAGTCAAAGAGTTCTAGTGATTCCTGCAGCATCTTATGAGAGCTTCTCTGCACCCACAGCAGGTCTGAGCTTTCCAGACACTGTTTTCGGAGAGTGAGCACAGGACGGTCATTGTGCATTCCCAAGTAGCCCCTGGTCACTACAGCAGATGAAAAAAGGGCTCGCCACTGTCAAAACTACTCACATACCCAGCTTCTAGCCACTCTTCTTTCCTAGGGCAAGTGAGCCGTATCATGCTGGCCTGCCACAGCAATTCATCCAGCCCTACGGCATGCTCCAGCCATCTGTCTCTCATGGGCAAATTGTTCAAGCAGAGCCATCCTGTTCCCAGGTCCTTGCTGAAAATGGTAGTTGGGAGCAGGCAATCGCCCTTGTCAGACTAGTTCACCTCACCCGTGTCTCCCCAGCTCCCAGTGGGCAAGTGGGCTGGCCAGGAAATGCCAGCCCAGCACAGCCACAGCAGCCCCTGCTCATCCCACCATGGAAGAGGAGAAGCCTGGAAGGGTTTGTTGAATCAGCCTGTGCGTCTTCCTTCAGCGGTGGGGTGTAGTCTTGCTTTACCATCTGGGAGTCACGACCGTGTTTACAGAGCAGGGATAAGATCACTATCTGCTCTTTGCGTTGGTACTCGTGGTGGGTATGTTAGCCCCTGCCTGGTAAACACTTTTTGGCAGCAACTGCACAAGTAAGTTAAGCCACTGATATGGAAGCAGATGTCCTTCTAGCTCACAGGAGAGGAATTAATTTCTGACATTGATCAGAGGAGATGATTTTAAGAAATCTCATTCTGATTTTAGTGACATATCAGGTGACAAAACGAATATTAAAAGTATGTAATACTTTTTGCTAGAAAATAAATCAACCTTTTTTCTAAGAAATCTGAAGATGGAAAACAATCCATCCTTCCTGATGTGGAGGGAAGAAACAAGCACAATGGTAGTTTCAGAGCAGTCAGCCTGGGCAAGTGGCACAGCAAGCTAAGAGACAATTTCGTGGCAGCAAGGAGATATCAAAATGAAGAACACCAGGAACCGGACACAACTTGAGCTGGTATAGGGATTAACAGTTTTTACATGTTTGTGAGGTTAACCATTCTCCTGGCTTATTAGCAGCATGTTTCAGAGCTTGGACTGGGACAGCCACAGCTGAGCTGCCAACCCCATTATGTGAGCAGCACTTCTGAAAGCAAGGCTACCCAGCAGGATGCAGGCTAGAAGTTAAGCCCTGGCTGCTGGCAAACTCACTCAGATCAGGCTCATTACAGTGGTGGCAATAAAAGTCATGAACCTACTTGCATTAACTACCCATTTTTCTTCCCTCTATATTCACAATCTAAAAGAAAAAGCAGAAACTTCTTCATACACTGCTGAGCAAGTGAAGAAAAGATTTATTCCCTGATACAATAACAATGCACTACAGGATCAAAATGCAGTCTTGGCATTTTTCCTGCTCTCAATCACGTGTCAAGGTTGCTACAAAACAACAGTTGCACACAGCTGAAAAAGTCTGGCAAACAGATGCAGGGGTGAGGCCAGCTTATCCGGGCTGCTCATAGCCCATCAGGGGGACGAGGCAGTCGGCCATCCCTGCGGCGGGCCCGTGTCCTTGCGGTGCTGGCACACGAGCCTGACTTTGCATCTGCATCCGTACCTTAGTCGGACAAGAGGTGCAAAGTGCAGCTGTTCTGATCAGTGCTCCCAGCTCACATGCGACCTTTCGGGAAGCCTCGTGCAGAGCGGTAACTCCGGGATGGGCTCAGCAGTAGGAGGCTGCTGCCAGGGGACTGTGCCAGCAGGTTCCCACAGTGCCACCCAGCCACGGCCTGCAGCGGGCTGCAACCCAATACTGTGATTCAAATAAGGAGCTGGAGGTTGGGTTCTAATTGTCAACCTGTGCTCTTTTCATAAAAGTTACAGGTGTAGAATACGTGCCACATCAGAGCTGTTGCGAGAAGTCTGTGCAAGGAAGTAAAAAGCCAGGCAGAGGATTGTTTGTCACTGAATCCCTGGTGGCACAGGTTTTCTTGCCCGATAAGTGACCACAAGTGGGTCACGTGAGGAGTGCAGAATGAATATTGAGGTCACACGCTAGCGAAACTGAACCAGTGGGAATCGACTGAAAAGTGTCCCCGGTGGAGACGGTGCCTTAACATACACAATTTGTTGCAACTCAGTGCACAACATCTGAAACACCGCTGGTGCTGCAATTCCAGCTGCCAGCTGGGGCATGAAATAGCAGGTGAGATTGGTGGGGGAAGGGGGGATGGGTTTCAAAGAATGTGCCATCCTGCTCAGCATGCTGTTCTCTTCTCTGCAAGTCCAACTTAGCCATAAAACAGTTCATGTCAATTTAATCAGAGTCTTGGCCTGGATGGTATTTCAAGAGCAGAAAGTTCTTGTTGCCAGGCAGAGGATTGTTTGTTTTTTTTTTTTTTCCTTCAAAAATCTCTGCTGTACTGGGTGCCACCTCCCTTACTTCTGAGCACAGTCGCATCTGTACTCACAGCCACAGGAAAAAAGCCTTTGCAAGCAGATGGACAGGTCATCCAAAAGCATCACCACAGCTAGCATGGCTGAGGGCTGGTGGCTCAGCACCTGGCATCTTTTGCTGCTTCGGCAATAACTAGCTATACTCATGTGACACAACCGAGTGTAAGCACCACCAAAAATAATGGCATACCTACATGCTCCAGCATTACTTCCTGAAGTTAATATGAAGTACAAGTTAATATTCTAACTGTACATTCCCCTTTTTATTGAAGCACTGCTTTATAACCCTGCTTCCTTCTCCCTTCTTTTTAGAACAGAAAAAGCTTAATTTAGCATGCAAATGCCAAGTGGTTTTGATTATTATGTGGCCTCCAAAAACTCAGTGCTTGATAATTTTTTCAAGATCTGAAAACTCCATAAGTAGGGAAATTTTTTTTTGCATTCAACTTCGATCAGCTCAATTCTGAAATCTGAATTCTATTTTTTTGAATAAATGGTTAGACTTTCTAAACATATGAGGAAGGGGGTCACTAGGGTTACTAGAGGCTAGGTGCGTGAGAGTTTGTAGTAGAAGGAGTGATGCCAAGTGCTGTGCTTGGCCCAATGCATCTCCATGCAATTTGCTACATTTGTTGACATCCTAGACACAGTAATTCTATGTACTTCCTCTTGTTTGGTGCTGTCCCACCTTGATGCTGCTCTTTCCTCATACAGAGCAGCAGGTAGTGTGGTTCAGGTACGAGCTCTGCTGTTAATTCAGTCACCCTACAGCTAATTCAAAAAAAGCAAACATTTAGGTCTTAAAAAGGTATTCTCATATGATTGATTATCTCAGACTTTACTTCCCAATAAACTTAATACTGCTTGGATAAGAAGTATAAAGTGGCCTACCATAACCTAAATCTGAGTTCCTGGAGTCCTTGAAGAACATCAGGTTTGAGCCCCATCCTATTCAGCTCCTGAGGTGTAAATGCATTTTGTTCACAGCTATGTCAGTAACTGGTATGCATATGACAATACCTCTATGAGCTGGTCTGGTTCACTCCCTTCTTCCACGGTAATTAATTTAGACCTTCCATTTCGTTCGTTGTCCCGAATGCCAACAGCAACTTGAGTAGCCTTCAGCCGTTCGTATTTATTGCATGATGAGCCACACCACTGATAGATTTCCTAAAAGAATTAAAAGCACAAACATTAGCAATAGGTTCAGCACTGAACAAAATTATGAAATTAATATTTAATTATCTTAATGGGCCTAAACCACCAGAACACCAGTGAAGCTACATCTTTTGGAAATACTTTCCAGAAGAGATTTGCTAAGTCACCTAGATGTCTGTAATCATTGTGGTTTAGCTGCAGCTGGCAACTAAGCACCACACAGTTGCTTGCTAAGCCTCCCCCACAGTGGGATAGGGGAGAGCATCAGAAGAGCAAACTCATAAGAAAACTCATGGGTTGAAATAAGAATAGTTTAATAATTGAAATAAAATAATAATAATAGAATAACTGTAACAAAAAGGAAAACAATGAGAGAGAAACAAAACACAGGACAAAACAAGTGATGCAACTGCTCACCACCCACCAACCACTGCTCAGCCTGTCCCCCAGCAGCAATAGCTGCCCCCCCCAGCCAACTCCCCCCAGTTTATATACTGAGTGTGACATCATACGGTGTGGGACATTCCTTTGGCCAGCTGGGGTCAGCTGTCCTGGCTGTGCCCCCTCCCAGCTTCTTGTGCACCTGGCAGAGCCTGGGAAGCTGAAAAAGTCCTTGACTGGTTCAAGCACTACTTAGCAACAACTGAAAACATCAGTTATCAACATTCTTCTCGTACTAAATCTAAAACACAGCACTATGCCAGCTACTAGGAAGAAAATTAACTCTATCCCAGCCAAAACCAGGGCAGTAATATGCAAAATATTTATGTAATGTAATTTAGCATCCACATATCAGGAGATCGCTCAACCTCAGAATAGTCAGAGTTTTGGTTTGATTGAATTTTATCCCAAATACAGATATCTTCAGTGATCCAAAGAACCTGAAACTCCTATACTTGCTACTGAAAATTTTTATTTTATATCTGGCTGTTCCTCTTATATGCTATTTCAGCGGTGCTGGTTCTCATCCGTGGCAAGAAACAAAGCAATTTCAAAATCTCAAGGAAAACACTGACTGTATCTGCTACTCAAAGGTAAAGTTAGATCTCTCAATCCAGTTTTTATTTGGGTGACTTTTTTCTGTGTAATATTTGTCACACACTCAGCTGCATCAAACCACAAAACCAGCTCAAGCACAAACAGATGACATAGGTGCTTTCAACAAAAACTTGGAAGTTTTTTCCTCAGTGTTCAGCTGATCAATGCTCATAAAACTTTAACAACCTCAGATTAATGCAAACCCTTCCACCTGGAATTATCACAAGTGCCTTTATAAATTGCTTCTAAAGATTTACAGATCAAGAATACACAGTTTTTCTGGTCAGTTAAACCACCAAGTTTCTCCCCAGCAGAACATGGACACATACCTGGTCCTCCTTCCTACCTCAGGAACTGACCAAAATAAAGCCAAGAGACACACCTGTAAAAGATGCCTCCATTCAGGAAACGAAGCAGCTAGGAGCAAGCTAGGAGTAATCCACCCCATCACGATTACCACCTTTACAAGGAGCTCCTCAGACACTGCAGCAACAGCTCTTTGTGCTGATGAGCAAGCTCTGGTGGCAGAAGCCCACTCCTAGATACCCTCTTACGGGCCTTCAAGGCCTTTCTCTCATCTGGCTGAATAGGTAGTGAAGAGGTATGCCCTGCACATGACAGGGAAAGTGCAATTCAATCAGAATAGAGCATGTTCCCAAGGCACCTCTCAGGAAGGAGCACCACCAGAACCAGCCTCCTAACAGAACAGGTCACCCAATCCAGACCAAGGCCCCCAGTTTTGGCAAGTCCCATTATTCATCCTGAACACAAAGCATTTCAGAATAAAGAATTAGATTTCAGTCTTGATGAAAATTACAAAGAAGAGGCAGAACATAAGCTACAGAGCAGCTAGAGGCGGAGCTGGAAGGAGCTAGTCAAAGGAAATTAATCGGCTTGGCTGGTTGCTTTATTTCCCCCCTCCTTTCTTCTGGAAGAAAGTAATTTGATTCTTCTTCACATGATTCTATCAAATAGCCCAAATAGTACAGCAATGAAGGTACATAGTCATTTTCAACTTCAAAAAAGGTTGAACTGGTCTGTGTTCATCTACAATGCAAATAACAAGGATTTACTCATAGGCCTCACTGAGTAAATTACTGGGGTCTTAGTGTTATGATGTTTATAAAATAAAACTCAGATTTCAGATGAAAACCTGTTTCATTCAGAAAAAGCATTTTAGGCTACTTCTGCTGACCGCTATTGTTATTTAATAGTGCTTGAAATCGTGGCTTGAGACAAATGAGAAATAAAGTATAGCTTCTCAGTACTAGCACACACAAACTTTCAGAAGACAGCTAAGGTTGATGCCATCTGCATGAGAAACAGTGCTAGTCACGTCTGATATTTACTTTTCGCCATCTTGGACACAAAAACCCACCCCAAACTCAGTGATCTTGCAGCCAAGTTCCCTTCCCTTCGGAAGCATCCGTCAAAGACAAAGTTCTAAGCTTATGTCAGGATTACACAGATTTCCAGAACTGGAACCCTTTCAACTTGCAGATATTGCTCAATGAAAGCTGTGAGGTTTTGAGCTTCCCTTTACCCACTTGACTGTAGGCTTAAGACAAGGAAAAAAAAATCTGCTTCTAAGTTTAAATACTGTCAGCTTACTAAGTATCTAGAACCTGGAGACATCCTTGGCTTCAGGTCTGAACCTTATCTTAAAACTGACTTTCAACATTTCCACAGGAAAAGAAAATATCTGTGCATACTTGGGGAAACATCATTTTCTAAAAAATTAATGAAAGACTGCCTTGAGTGCATAGAAAGTCAAAAGTTTCAATTTGAGCAGATTTTTTTAATATAGTTATTATAGCCATGCACTGCCTTAGCCATCTTCTCCCAAATTTTGGGACACTTCCTAAAACAGACTCCTTTAGTTTCTCAGAATTTCAGCACTCAAACTTACTCATTCTCATCTTGGCCTACCTCCAACTAATTGAGCTTATTTGAAATTATGTGAGAAAATAGGAGTCACTAGAGATAAAGCAGCAATAAATAGCAATTCTTTATTTCCCACAGTCTATAGAAGCAATAAGGAAGAGGAAGACAACATATATAGAGCTGAAGAGGTTAGGCAGATGCTGCTGTCGTGGTTTAACCCAGCAGGCAGCTAAACACCACACAACCGATTGCTCACTCCCCCGCAGAGGGATGGAGGAAAGAATGGGAAAAGAGGTAAAACTCATGGATTGAGATAAGGACAATGTAGACAGAAAAGGAAGTTACAATAATAATAATGATGAAAGAATATACAAAACAAGTGATGCACAAGGCAATTGCTCACCACCCACTGACAAATGCCCAGCCTGTTCCCAAGCAGTGGTCCCCCCACCCTCCCCAGAGGTTTGGTGTTTTGTTTTGTTTTTCAGTTTCAGCTGTACATGTTAGCCATCTTTTGGTAACCGGCCATGTAACCTCAAACGAGTATTCGCATCTACTAAATGTATTTACTGTACTGACCACAAAGGATGTCATGAGACTTAAACTGTCATTGCAAATTACAGAGACCTTTACTTCTCAGACAATAAATTCACATTTTCTTTTCTTAGCATCTCCTAAAGGTCCCACTGCACAGTGAGCCCTAGCTACCCCACATTCACAGCATATTCTCCCCATCTGCCTTCAATCAGCAAGTGACTAAACTGAGCTCTCCAACAGTCCTCAGGTTCTAGCCTTCAAATCAGCCTGAGGAAGGAGAAAGGCCTTTGAAAATCTACAATAATGGATTTCAGATTTTTTGATTTGCAGACTTCATTGTTTTCCTTATGGAGTCCATATTCCTAAACTACAGAAACATTCCCAGAAAATAATATGGCCTAAATATTTTTTTCCTGAACTAAAATAAATAAATATGAAATTTTGTTAGCTGTAACCTTGAGAAACCTTGTGTAGTAAGGTTCTCTCCTGCCACATAAAAAACTCCAACTTGAATCAACAAGCAGTGTCTGAAGACATCCCTGATCTGGAGTTTGCGTGGACGAGCCATACCATTCCTACAAGCTCCATCTTCCCTGGTTATTTAAAAAAACTCAATTGATTTTAAAAGCTAGAGAAATAAGAATCTGCCTCTTTTCAGCACTAGAGAATAGAGACAGTTATTCTTTATTAAAACCCTGAAAGCTAAACTTCACATACTGTATAATCTAGTACAAGGAAGTGAGCAGCCACAAGTCATGAAAGCGTCCCAAAGTATATAACATTTTCCTGTATTTACTAAGAGTACCAAACAAATATCTTAAGCATTCACTGCTACAAGCTTTCAGGAACTTAGATTTAGTTTTCTGTTCTGAAATCAAGTCATCTTCTCTATTTTTAAATGTATCTAATTTTGAGGCCTCATGGCAGAAGTTCAACTGGATTTTTACAAGTTTGTTTTCCTGATCTAACTTTCCCATTTCAATCTCCAGGCAGATTGGGTTTTTAACAATTTAAAGCCAGAAAAAAATATTTTTAAAAGTTAAAGTAACTTCTTGGCAAGGCTAATATTTAGATCTTGATTTACCTGAAATACAGTCAGCTAGTTATCTAACCATGTCCAACAGACCACTGAGCATTTGGCTTGTATTTTATTATTCATGTTATTTATTTTTAGACACACATACACACATATATATAAAGTGCTCAGCTAGGGCCATAATATGGTATTTAGCTTTAGCTCACTCAGTGCTTTCACAATTTCTTAGCTGTGCTACACCTTCACTATTTTTAGGCTTGTTTTGCTAGCCTTATTTTGAATTGGCGGGCTGACAAAAAATGTTTCCATTAAAATGAAAATAGACTTCAAGTGTTCACTCCCCTCAAAAAAACCCAAAAAATAACTTCATTCATCAGTAATTCCTGTGCCAAGCCCAGTTTATTTTCAGAAGTTTGTACTAGCAGTATTTTTTTTTAATCTCTTTAACAGAGTTTGAGGGAGATACTATGGAGGAGAGCAGCTATTCTGCTACCTGATATTAATGGTTGTTGGTATC